ATTTGTGTCTAAAACTAGCTTTTTCCAATTGTATATACAAATAAATTATTTTAGGTATGTCAAAAGACCTCCATTTTAGGTCACTGCTGTTTATGATCATCCTGGGTTAGGTGGGTCCCCTTTCCTAAATATCTACAATGTATGTAAAATCTGCTGGTATTTAATAGGAGTTTGTCACAAATGAAAAATCAGGCCCAAATTACAGAAAAGCAGCTGCAATTTTTAAAAGCATACGATGTAAAAAGAGATCACAAATATCTAACTGTAAATCCTTGCCCTGAACCTCTGCTGTGAGATAGGGGCAGAAAAACCTTTGACCCAAACCCCTTGTCCTGAAACAGAGGAGGAAAATAATTTCTCTGTAGAGTTCTTTACCTGAATTTCCTATCCGAAGAGAGAGAACAAAGCCCTTATGCTTAAAAAAAAAAGGAGAGTTTGAAAAACAGTCTAAATAAGTCTGGACTTTGAAACAAAGAGCGGTGTTACCAAAACACCAGGGGTTTGATCTAGATGCTTGCTGCACAGAAAGCCACCGAGACAAGTATTGGCAGGAAAGAAGGCTTTAATCAGGTGCTGCAGCTGAGGAGATGAGAGATGAGCCTCAAATCCATCTCCCTAACCCACTAAAATTAGGGGCTTATATAGCAGGGAAGAAATGTGACTTACATGTAGGGAGGGATAAGGAAAAGGCGTTGCTCACAGGCAGCAGTCACGATGGGTGAGGGTCCGGGCCTCTCATTGTTCAGATGTGGTGACCTGGTGAGTTTGAGCTCCTCAATGCCATCTGGGAGGCCTGAGAAAGAAACCCAGGTAAGAAAAATGTAAGGTGCTCAAGTTTTAAGACTGTAGGGGTCAATTTCTATGTTTATTCTAGAGAAACCATGAATGTCAATTCAATGGGACAACTGGGCTAGTTTCAGCGGGAGGCCCAATTTGAGGAGAACTCACCCAAAACACCTGATAGGACTTCTGAAGACACAGAGTTCCTGCTGGTGCCAAATGCTGCTTTCAGAAAGAAACACCAGGTGGTCAGGGGGAGACACTCGAAATCCTGTGGACTACAACAGATATTCAACCTAAAAGGAAGAAACTGAAGCAAAATTAATAGAAGTACAAAGTTTATTTGGGCCAAGCTTGTGGATTGCAATTGGGAGCATAGATTCAAGTTTTCCTGAATATGTGCTCTGATGAGCAGCAGTTACAACTGGGTTTTTTGTTTGTTTGTTGTTGTTGTTGGGATGAAGTCTTGTTCTGTCACCCAGGCTACAGTTCAGTGGCGTGATCTCAGTTCACTGCAACCTCCACCTCCTGGGTTCAAGTGATTCTCCTGCCTCAGCCTCCCAAGTGTTGGAGATTACAGGTGCCTGCCACAATACCCAGCTAATTTGTTTTTTTTTTTTTTAGTAGTGACAGTGTTTCACCATGTTGACTAGGCTGGTCTCAAACTTCTGACTTCACATGATCTGCCCAACTTGGCCTCCCAAAGTGCTGGGATTATAGGCGTAAGCCCCCATGCCAGGCCACAAATGGGTTTTTTTTGTTTTGTTTTGTTTGTTTTTGTTTTTTGAGACAGAGTTTCGCTCTTGTTACCCAGGCTGGAGTGCAATGGCGCGATCTCGGCTCACCGCAACCTCCGCCTCCTGGGTTCAAGCAATTCTCCTGCCTCAGCCTCCTGAGTAGCTGGGATTACAGGCACGTGCCACCATGTCCAGGTAATTTTTTGTATTTTTAGTAGAGACAGGGTTTCACCATGTTGACAGGATGGTCTCGATCTCTCGACCTCGTGATCCACCCGCCTCGGCCTCCCAAAGTGCTGGGATTACAGGCGTGAGCCACCACGCCCGGCCTACAAATGGGTTTTTAAAGGCAAAAAAGGAGGACAGGGAGTTGGCTGACAGAAAATTGGCTGTCAGGAATTCTTGCTGGTTTACAGAATCAACAGTGATGAGTGATTGGCTGTACACTGTTAAGCTATGGGATACCAGTCGCAGTGTCTGTGGTGGCATCACTAGGTTGACTTACAGCTGTAGGGTACAGGGCATGTGCCACTAGACTGATTCATAGATACTGTAGCAACAGCAAGCAGTTTCAAGAGATGCACATGTGTTATGTGACTGCTGCCTCATTTCACTGTCTTTCTGGACCTGATAGTTTAAAAGAACTCACATTCCTCAGATAAAAGTTCTTTTCTCACATTTCTATGGACAAGAATAATTTGTATCATTATACTATGACTGGAGGGGGTGGGCACCTCCCTCAGAGCTCAGGCCTCAGAGCTGCCAGATGTGGGGAGCTGTGGGATTCTTAGCACCAATGGTTGGGGCTCAAATATTTGAGGACTGTCATCAAAAAAATCCAGGTGTCATTTATTTTTGTAGGACCCATGGGCTGAGAAGAGCCTTTATACTTTTAAATGGCAGAAAAAAGATCAATAGAATACTTGATGATGGGAAAATCATTTGAAATTCAATTTGTGTCTACCAAAAAAGCTCTGGCACTAGAGCCACAGTACTTTTGTGAGGGCTATCTATGGCTGCATTTGTGCTACACTTAGAATCAAGTGGTTGAGATGGAAACCATATGGCCCACAAAACCTAAAATATATTCTACCTGGCCCTTTTCAGAAAGTTTGCCTCCCCTGTCTTATAAGGTTAGCAGTGAGCTAGAGCTGACACCAGGCACAGCCAGAAAGCCTCTTATCTTCTGGAACAACTGCCCATTAATGGCTAATGGTTTAATCTTAATGGTCTTAATGGTTTTAATCTTAACCCACAGAATCCCTAGAACCCATGAATATCACCTAGTCCCATTTTGGCAGCCCACTTCTCCCTCCAGGAAACAGAGAGCTGGCAGCAGAGAGTGTCTTTAGTATGAGCTCCCCAACATGATCACCTAGCTTGTGACGACCTGAAGCAGCCCAGGAAATGCCCACTAGCATGCCCACTAGCAGCAGGAACCACTCTGTGAGGATGAGAACGTTTTACAGTACGAATTCCCTGTTTGTTTTGCAGCAGACTACTCAGGCCAGACATGTGTGGCCTCTCAGCGATTTGAACCATCTGAAGCTCCCTATCCCTGCTGGGAGGCTGGATTCTTGGTGGAAACCTGGCCTGGAAGTGAGAGGCCTGAGGAGCAGACCCTGTGAAAACACCTTTTTACACTGACCAAAGCCGCCAGTTGTAGGCCACTGACGCAACAGGTCACCTGGTGCATTCTAGCTCCTCAAAAAAGCAGCCCCCGGGAGGGCCAGGAGGAGGCTGCTGACCCCAGCTTCCCTTGCAGCTGCCCCAAGTGTGCCCAGGAGCCTGCAAGTTTGGGTTCACCAGGTCCCACCAGAGGCCCAAGATGCTGCTTTTCTTTCTTCTCTTTTTTCTTTTCCTCTCTCTCTCTCTCTCTCTCTCTCTCTCTCTCTCTCTCTCTCTTTTTCTTGAGACAGAGTTTTGCTCTTGTTACACGGGCTGGAGTGTAATGGCACAATCTTGGCTCACTGCAACCTTCGCCTCCTGCGTTCAAACAATTCTCCTGCCTCAGCCTCCTGAGTAGCCGGGATTACAGCCATGCGCCACCATGCCTGGCTAATTTTTAAAATATTTTTAGTACAGACAGGGTTTCTCCATGTTGGTCAGGCTGGTCTCAAACTCCTGACTTCAGGTGATCTGCCCACCTAGGCCTCCCAAAGTGCTGGGATCACAGGCATGAACCATGTGCCTGGCCCACAGAACGACCACTGGACCCTCGAGCAAGCCGGGTGGACCCGTGCTGCCAGCACCCCCAATGCCCTCATCTGACAGGCCACGTTAGCACTGGGGCCAACCCAAATCACTTGCTAAGCTAGGGTATCAGCTTGGTTTTGCCCAGTTATTTTGTTCACAAAATTAACACTACAGGCCAAAAGACAGTAAGAGCTACAGCTGAGAGTAAGCAACAGACTTGAGCTGCATGTGCCTGCAGTACATTTTGCCAGAAGGAGATGATGATACCAGCCAGTGTTTCCATCCTACAAAGAAAACCCAGGGATGACAGGAGAGGTCGTATAGGACTCAGCATGACTTTCTGGAATCTGGTAGAAAAAAATGTTTATCAGCACGGATCAGGAATTGCGAGTTCTACTGAGACAGCACAGTCAGAGCTCAGCATCACAGCAAATGCAGCAGTTAGGAAATGACCCCTTCTGCTCTCCACAAAAGCACTCTGCCTCTGCCCAGGTGGACAGACCATCTCACCCTGAGCCCACTGAGATATTAATTCTCAAGACAAAGTGGGGGCTAGCCGGCACACAAAACTGCTCTTGCTTGCGTCCTAAGAACCCAGCCTTGTGCGAGGGGCCACAGAGAACGCAGAACACAACTTCATAGTAGCAAATCCTACACTCAGGCACAGGCGCTGGAATGCACGCATGCATAGTTCAAAGGAGGGCCCCCCCCCGGGAACAGTTCTTCTGGTTACCTGGTTTGTGCTTGACTGGTCACAGTGAGGGCTGCCACCTGAGAAGTGGGGACCTGTGGAGAAGCATCTCTCCTTTGCTATCTTCAGCTTAATCCGACGCAGCCCTGCAGGTCTCACACCAGCCGTGCACCTTCACACACCCAAAGCCTCATTCTCAGTCAGCGTGGGACTGTCCTGAATGAAAGCTGGGGGCCAGGGGAGGCGAGTGAAATTCTAACAAAAAGGCACTTAGATTACACCTGGGTCTCTGTAGATTTTAGTTCCACTGATTTTCTTGTGAATAAATGTTTATCTTCATGGAACAAGTAGGCTGGAGGCCAGTTGACCTGCTATGGCTTTCCAAAAGACAAAACCATAAGAATTCTCAGATCTTGGGCAAAAGATACAGCTTTTGGTTGTGACATGGACAAAGACAATTTGGGCTGGAATAGTCAACCACTCCTACTTCCTGACACGCAAAGGTTCCCTGTGATACAGTTGACAAAGCATTTGCACACAGGACTCATGCTGTTTGTCCCCAAATTACCAATAATCTGTACACTTGCAGCAAAATGTGAACAAATATATTTAGATATATTTAAAAGAATTAAAAAAAACATTTCACAAAACATTTGTTGCCATAGGAATTATTTTTAGCAATAAATGCCCACATCAAAATTTAAACATTGTTCAAAGTATGATTATCTGTACTAAGTAATGCAACAAATTATGTAAACAGAGTCAGATACATTTCCCTGTAGGAGTGACTTCCTTCTTGGGATTAAAGCTGTCCCAGACATCTTTCCAGGGGACCAATTAAGAAACTGCTATTTTCAGAGCAACAAAAATAAAAGCTTTTATTTGTTCATTTGAATATAAAACAGGCGTTATCACAGATGTACAAAGCGTACTGGTGGTTTAACATACAAGAAGATTGCTGTCCTTTGCACATAAAAATTTTGTTTGAAACCGTGATTGGTTGAGTACATGAATTTCTCTAACCAGTCACCACACTCTGAAATAACGCTGCTAACATTCAACTGATAAAAGGGACCATCTCCCTTGGGTAAAGTGTCAAGCAGGATTAAATATATATAATAAACAAGCACCATGAGGAATCTGCTCCTGTTTGATTAGGTCTGTGTTTATATGTTCACGGTGTACCCTCTTTTTGTGCAAGTTGATTACACAGTTTTGTCTGACTTCAAAAGCACAAGGTCACAAGACAAACATTTTTTACATTCTCATGAATGATTTATCTACAGTACAATTTCTAAAACAGAATGACCCTTCTTTATTGCTGAAACTGGTGGTACTGTCTCCTTTCCTTTTTCTTGCACAACGAAATTTCAATCTCAGTCCACCAACTCTTTTGAGCCAAAACTCTAACATCAGAGTTGACAGGATGCAGAAGAGACTGCTGCTAACTGCCCTCACAACTGCACTGCAGCGTTCACACTCCTCGAATGTAGAGTTGATTTGGTGACAGTTAAAATTATGTTTAAAGTGATATCTAAATTTGTTTTGCTTCCTGACTTCAGCTGGACCTCAACGTTTTCCTGCACACTGCAATTAATGTTTCATAGTCAGTGTCTGACCTGAAGCCCTACACCTACTTCCCTTTAAACAAGGTGGGTGGGTGCGTGGGTGGGTGTTAAGAAAATGTCTTTTTTTTCCTGTGTGTGGTGGTTCCCCCCTTAGGAAGCAGAGGCTAGGAATGTGTATCTGAAGCATATGGAGAAAATTATTCACACACAGCAATGAGGTCAAACAATATTTCAGGAATCAAATGGTTTGTGGAGATGGAAGGGTGCACCACATACGCAGACAAATTTTTTTATATGAGCCACTTTTTTTTTTTTTTTTTTTTTTTTTTTACAACAATCAGCCTTGGATCTCAGAAGTCAAACAAAACTCTTTTAGCAAAAGGCTTACTGCTGACTGCATACAGCAAAGGCAGACAAAGAAACTGCCTACAACATAATGAAAAATAATCTAAATTTTGCCCAGCATCAATCTTAGTCATGCATATCTAGCACCGAGAGCCACTGCAGGTCACACTGGGGCAGTCACAGAACACATCTTTCTCGGAGTGCAGATGCGCCTTCTTGGACACCGTGGGCCAATTCAATTTAGAAGTGCACAGGTGAGCTCTGAGAAGCTGTGGCCAGGAGCTGCCAGGGCAGAAACCAGGGCACAGTCGTCCACAGGCGGCAAACGACGCAGCTGGAGGACTTCTGCTTTAGCCGGAGCTCTGGCATGAACCCCCGGGAACTGTGCTCAGGAGGCTCACACAGAGCTGGCTAGGTCTTAAGATGAGGGGACGGTCACCGATGTGAGTTCTGGACACTCTGTCCACTCCACATTGGCCATCAAAGGGGGAATCAATGCAACCCAGTGCAAATGACCACAGAATCGCATTCCTTTTCATAGCAAGGACCAAAAAAAGATGACACTAACAAAAATGATGAAAAACATTGTGCAATGAATTCTTGCAGCTAAGAAAACTATTTGCCAACCTAAACCCCTCAGTATCATCAGCACACGCTGGCATAAACACATTCACTGTTGTCCCACAGCAAAGAAAAAAATAGTGCACACTGAGCTTTAAATTCTTTCACCATCCTTGAGATGGCAATAATTTCACTTGCTGGTCTCTGGTTCTAGAAGAAACCGAGACAGCACTCCTGCGCTCTGTGACTGCTGCAACAGCAGAGTGTGTGTGAGTACGGGGGGCACACCATGCAAGTGACGAGTTCTGCATCTTCAACTTTAAAATCTCCTTTGTTCATTAGTGAATTTATATTTCATATATATATATTTGTTGTGATACTATCCACGCAAGATAATACAACACTTTTTTATATTAGCAAACATTACAAGACTTTAATATTCTTGAATGTTTTTCTCTTTTATAGTTCTAAAGAGATCAAAATAAATTAAACGTTTTGTACATAATTACATATTGAGGAAGTTAACTTATTTTATCTTTTTAGTTTAGTACAAAGATATTTGCAAGATAATTGCCGAAATACACCTTATTTATAATTTCTTCTCATTCTATACTAACTTCAAAGGCCATATATCAGCCTTTGTTTCTTCAGCACATTTCTGACAAAGAAAGCTGCTAAAATCTAATTGGAAGGTGCTATTTGGAAGGTTGTCTCGTACCTCAAACTTTCCTAAAAGCATGAGATCTAGCAATGGCTTAAATTAGTAACAGATCCATGTCATCAAGATTTCATGACACATTAAAACAGAGAAAACAATTCTTTGTCACACTACATAAACTGTTTAAAAGAACCCAATAGAGGGCAGGATACTTTTTAATTGCTATTTCGGCTTAACAAAATACCACATTTACGAAGAAAGCACTTATTATCCAATAATTAAAAAAGAAAGAAAAGAAAAGAAAGTTTTTGAAATGGGCTTTTCCAATGAACTGAAGGCAGTAATCCAAAGTCCTTCTGAGCGAAATTCAGTGGTAAATTCACATTTCACCCCCATGCCAATCGTGGCTGCTGTGAGAAGTCCTCTTCCTCCTTCTCTTCCTCCTTCACTCTCACCACAGAATGGCTGCGTTCTGGTGAGTATTGCCCTGTGTCTGCAAGCTTCAGTGGACACGGAGAACAATGTTTACATCTCTAGAAAAGTCCATGGAAGCCAAGAGGTGAGACTACATGTTGTAGGCCACATAGATGGGGTCTAGCTGGTCAGCCAAAAACCCATCTCGCAGGTGCATGCGCTGCTTCTCCCCACGGGAGTTGATGGGGATGACGCCGATGTCCACTACAACCACCACTCCGACAATCAGGTAGTGCTCCTCCAGGACCACATTGGTCACCAAGGGAACCAGGTCCAAAGCTTCTTGTTCCGACCCATCAAGCTCAACCACAACCACCAACAAATTTGTCCAGGTAAACACAGCACTAAAGGACAAAAAAGAAAGCCATCATTACGTGTATTCATGCTTTATTTAAGAGCTGCGGTTTCTTTTCACAAGTTCACTTGGCGCTCTCTGACCTGCCCGAGCACTCCCGACAGTCTCCTCCGGCCTCTCCACGTCCTCCGTCTGCCGCTCACTAAACGCCCCCCACACAGCCTTCTTGGTGAAGCACCTGCCAGTGTTTTTCCTACCAGCCTTCTCTCTCGGTGGCTTCTGCACGTATCTCACCATCTTCCCGAGTTCCCATTTCTAGAACAGGGTTATGCCACCTGGCTACGGAGTCTGTATTCCAGTACTGCCTCTGCTGCTTCCTGGAGAACCAATGCCCTGATCGCAGAGTGCAAGCCATCAGCCTCCACCCTCCTCAAGGCAGCCCTGCGCCTCCTGCTTCTAGACCCCAGCTCTGCTGTTGCAGGGCGTGGGCGCAGGGGTGTGTGTGTGTGGAGAAAGAGGGTGTGGGTGCATACTCCTCCTGTGTGTGCCGTGCGCCTGAGGGGGAGAGTGTTTCCCAGCCCTGCGGCTTGGGCTCAGCGTGGAAGCTGGTCAGCCTGTGTTAGGGAGGTGAATGCCAGCGGAGGCTCCAGAAGGGCTGGCTGTGGGGGCTTCTCCTGGTGTGTCCTGATGAAGACATACCTGGGCTGGCCCTTGGGCCCCAGAGTATAAGAAACACATGGAGAAGAGCCACCAGTCCTATGCCTGGCCGAGCTGCTCAGCCCAACTGAGCCAGCCCTGGACTGCAGATGTGGGGACATCTTAACAACTCTGCCTAAAGCACTGAGCATGGCTGGCTTCCTTACAGCAGCGGCTAAGTCATGTGCAGACAGAAGTCTTCTGGAATGTGGAAGAGTCACTCACATGTTTTTTTTGGGGGGGATCGAGTCATCTTTCAGCAGGATGGGCACCAGAGTATTTATTCTGTCCAGCAGGCGGAAGCGGAAGCCCAGTGCTTTACATTTTAAACTACACAGGATTGGCTTTTAGAAATAGCTGTTTAAAGGCCCTGATATTCACAGTCCCTGGTGCTCGAGGTCTGCTTGGCTGAGGAGGCCAGAAGGTTCCCAGGCAGAGGGGCTGGATGGAGACTGGGCCCCAGGGCTGCTGGTCACGTGCCTGACACCCACATTCTATCCCAGCTTGAGGCAGGAGGTACTGAGGAAACTCACTACTCTAAGTGTGAGAGTAAGTCAATTAGGAAAAAATTGTGTATTTTATTCAGTATGGCCCATATATGTTAAACTGAAAGGGAAAATTGGAGAATTTTCCTGGAAATTCTCAACAGTTCTCCTGGATTTGGCTTTGTGATTGCTGCACGCCTAGAAGCATGCTAAGAACTGTTTCCAAGAAAATGTGCTGGGGCTTAATTCCAGTCACACTGCTCCTTGTGATGTTAAAACGTTGCTCTGCGTGGCCCATGTGAGCCCATATTGTGAGTCTGATATCACAGATACGTACATCTCAGGCATGCTGGGTATACTTTTATTATGGCATTTGAAATTTACAGAACAGTCCTAGAATATCATAACGCACTTGGCTCTCCGGAGGAAGAGCTGGTGGAGGGTGTGCTTGCTCTATGGCTTCCTCTGGGCTGCAGGGACTTGCGGGATGCTGCCAGCGACTCAAGCTCTCAGAGCTTTCCCAGGAGCTGTGCATGCTATGTAGTGCTGACAACACTGGCGGAAGCGACAAAGTGTGTCTGGCCTGAATCTGGCAACATGGAGAGTCCCGTTCCGCAAAGCTGGGGTCACAGCTCAGAATGGAGCAGCCAGCGGTGGCCGGAAGGGGCAGTGCAGGGAGGCTGGGAGAGGGAAGATGGAGCAAGGCATCATCTCAAGCATTCGAAAGTCCACTCAAAGGGCAGCATGTGGACAAGGGGCATGTGAGTCCCTGACCAAGTGAGGGACAGACCCAGGTCGGCGGCCACGTGGCGGTTAACGGCAGCGACACTTACTACAGAGTGAGGCCCAGCACCAGGGTCTAGAAGCCCCGTGGGCACCAGTGAGGCCCTTGACGCTCAACTTTTATTGGGAAACCAGACAGAAAATGCTTGAGGGAGGTGATACAAACCAATTAAAATTATTTCCTTAAAAATACAAAAATGGAAGGCCTTAACTGATACTCATAGCTATTTAGATGGAAAATAAGGTAGGCCCTGGCTGAGTTTCTGGGTCAAAGTCTTCTTAGACTTTCTGTCTTCTTTGTATACTCAAGGAGAGAACTGTCAAGGAGACTGACAATTCGAGAAATTTTGTTTGAGAGTAGGAGCTTAGCCAATTCGAACCACAGGATCGCGGTCAGGTATGCAAACTCGATCTTATAAATTCTGCCAAGTACTCAATGTTCAGATTCAGCAAACGGCAGTAAGTACCAGCCTTTATTGCACCTCCGTTAGCTAAGAAGAGGAATGAACGATCTCAGAAACCATCCTTTCAACGCAGAAAAGCTGTTGATGAGAGAGTGCAGAATGCGCCTCCCTCAGGGTTTCTGAGCTGAGACTGAGACCGTCTCATCAGGGGCCTCTCAGTAAGCACCTATCTGTTATCGAGGGAATGAACAAGGCTAAAGCCAATGGTGCTGAGTCGCTTTTCATCCTAACTGCAAATATAAAGGCACCCAGCAAGCCTGTGAAAGTCCCCAGCCCTGGCTGACTTAACTCACAGCACTCTAGCATCCAATCCACTCCCACACATCAGAAGAACGTGCTGCCGAGACATGCTCAGCACTTCACAACAGATTACAGCCGCAAAGTCATCACCTGGGCCCAGACCAGAGCCTGTCCCCAGGCAGGTGCAATACACACACCCTGTCACTGCCAGCCTTGGCCTAACTCAAGCAATTCTTCCTTTGGACGTCTCCTCTGGGGTCTGGTCACAGGCTGCCTCGCCTTTCACTGGAAATATTCCCACGTCTCATGTTACTTACAGTCCCCAAGTCAATAGTCATAAAAGTATTTTCTGTGCCTATGTATGTGTCAGCTTTGTTTTCTTCCTATATCATGCTTTTGTAAATTAAAAACCAAACAATAATTTGGTTTCCTGGAAAATGTTATCAAGTAGTTTTCATAGCAACAGAAGTCTATAGTGTTCAGGTAACATATGCTATATTAACTCTATGTGTGGAGTGTTCTTTTGTTGCTTTAACCCCAAAAGATAAAGGTTTATAGTTCAGTGTTGACTCATACGCCCTTCCCTACCTCAGTGAAACTCTTCTCTGCCGCCCCGCCCTCCACATTCCCAGTGCTTCACAAACTGCTCCCAATTCAGGTACAAGCCGCAAGCTCACAACTTACCATTCCGTGACGCTTTTATGGGCTCTGATGACCGAGGTCTCGATGTCGATTGGGTGGTACCGCATGCCCCGCAGCTCCATGGCTTCGTCCAGGGCCCCAACCACGTAGAGGGCATCGTGGCGCTCTGTTCAGGAATGAAAGCCTGTGTGAGCTTCCCTGTCATGCTGCTCAAGCCGCTTTCCTCCTTTTCTTAAAAAAGATGAAAAACTACCCCAAGTGAGACAGGGACATGAAGGAAGGGGATCATGGTTCTGGGGACAGTCTGTTTCCTTCTGCCAGTGAGAGAGCTCCCTGGCAAGGCCTGGCTTGTGTGTCAGTGCCCAGCAGGCTAGCTGCAAGGCTGCCATGCTCCCTCTGCACTGGCTCAGCTTCCACACCCAGTCAACTGCCCCTCACATGCTCCTCGGGAGCAACTGAGGGATGGGTCAGCACCCAGTGGTCTGCGTCCCGTGGTCGCCTGCCCAAGGTCACACAGGATGCAGCGTGGCCAGAGCAGATCCAGCTCCCTGACTCCATCCCACACAGGCTCCTCTGTGCTATTAGTTCTGGGTATAAGCAGGTAAAGAAAACGTAGCTCCTGGTAATGTTCATGAAGATTTCCTTAGCTCACGGAGCCATGAAATTTATTTCTATCCTTCATGCAAACCTCAGAATCATGACAATGACAACAAATGGTCAAGTCCTATCTTTCCTTAAGGAAATATGTCCTAAATTTTTATAGAGTCATAAGCATATTAGGGAAAATCTGAAAGGAAGGACTGACATATAAAATCATATCAGATGTAAGTATTTTCTAATTTTAATCAGACAAAGAAAGATGGAGACACTGACTTGGCCTCGGCCCCTACAGCAGCTTCGTCTCTTCCCTTGTGGCAGGGGACATATCCTTCAGGGAATCCCTGCTCCCAGGACTCAGTGCGACGTGGCTTTCCTGGCCTTTCTCTAGGAGTATAAATTGCCACCAGCTTTTGCAGTTTCCAGGAACCTCAGACAGCACACTCAAACTACTCTATAATTTCCCACAATGCAAATGTCATACCAGGATACTTTCATGTGATTCCTAAATTTAGCACATTGGGCCAGGCCTTCATAGGTATGTTAGGCAGGCATGTAAGGAAGCCTTACTGATGTCTAGAAACTCATCTCCCTGGGGTTTTGGTCAGGCAAGATCTCATCAGGAACCTTAGCTCCCATTGTTGTGAATTAGCCAAGTCCTGCCTCTATTTTTAGCAGAACTAAGGAGATAAGAAAGGATTCTGGAATAAGCAAAGACATAAATAAGGAAGTGCACTTTTACACCGTGGCATCAGGAAGCACCCCTGGCCTCATCCCCGCTCTCCTCTGATGAGGCAAAGGCAATGCCATACATCTAGCCACTCCACAGCAGGCACCAGCAGCTGCAGCACCAGGCCCTGTACTCTGATGAGTGCATGGGCAGAGATGGCCAGCCACAAGGGCCTCGAGCCTCGAGCCTCCTCTTCCCAGACAGGGACAGACCCAGCCCTGGAAGTGGCAGCACGCATGTTCCCGCAGCTACTGGGCTAGCTTCTGTCTCGGATGGACCCTGCATGAGCATGCAGCCTTCAGATGTGCTGAGGAGACCCTGAGGGCTGAGCTGGGCACTCTGCTGTGGTAGGCACTGCAGCCTGTGCTCAGCAGCTGGGCCCCTCCCTAATGTTCAGTCTGCATTGGCTCTCAGGACAGGACCAGGTACATGAGGCACAGCTCCGCTTCTGGGACATATTTGCATTTTGCCTTTCTCTTTTAAACTCAGCTCTTTTCACACTGGGTTTCAGCCGGTGCACATGTCCTTCTGGGTTTGGCCGCAGTGAACCTTGGGAATGGCTTCTGCACCTAGGGGAGTCTAACCGCTCTGCCCATCTGTGTCAGGGGGCCATCCAGCCTGGACTCTTACTCACCTCCATTTGCATCTGTGAGCTCAGTTCTCCGCAGGAACCCCAGGTAACCTGTGCGTGCCCAGATGGTCTGGGTGTCTCCAAAACTTAGTCTTGAATTGAAGTGATCTGACTGGAGGGATTCGTCTCCGTAAATAGTGAAATAACCACTGGCATTGTGGGCACTGTGAACCCAAATCTGTGAACAGAGAGAAATGTCACTGTGGAGGACATTATTTTACCTCCAGTGAAGTGAGGCTACAACTCTGACAATAAATTATATTCAGTGATATGAAAAGTTTCCTTGAACTGAATAACCAAGATGATGTTAATCTCATTCAGGTTTCTGGAGACACATGCAGGATACTGAAATAAAGGCACTTTGCCAATTTTGTGGCCAGGCAACCAACCAAGCCATCCACCTATGGGGAATTATATTAAAGCAGATTAGTTGAAGCCTTAAGAAATAGCTTTTAAAAACATACACGGCAAATGAACAAAGTCATACTAGATTCCTTACACTTTTCCAAATGACCGTTTCTAAAGAGCAAGAACAAAGTTGAAAAGCTTTGAGATTTCTTCTCCGTCACCTGGTTAGCATACTTCTAGACATATTGCAATAAAAACACACATCACAGAACAAAACCTAAGGGATAAATGCGCATCACACCAAAAAATGGAGACAAAAATGCTTGGATGTCTGACATCTGGGGAAATGGGTAAGCAAAGACTGATATAGTGACTCAAAGCCACAGCCACGTGGTCACACAGATCCATGGACTGGGCTGGGTAAAAGCAAAACCAGTAAGTTCCACAGATGCCCATGCTGCTCTGCCCACACGGCAAAGGTCAGGAGAGGCAGGGCCTTTTGGACTCTGGCGTGTTTGCAGTGGAGGCATTCTGGGCTTGGCTGTTTCCGTTATTTACTGACAATCAAAAGTGGTAAGTTCCATGAAGTCAGAAACCGGTTTACTACGGCACCCATGTCCCAAGGCAGTGCCCAGCGCGTGGTGGGACTCAGTGCCTGCTACTCAAATGAAAAGACAAAACTGAGAGAGACAGTGCAGCATCCGATCAGGGAAATGACGGCATTCTCGGTTCCCAAACACAAAGAAGTTCTCAGAAAGGCAATGGAACGCTCTACAGCCTTAAGAAAGAAGGGAATCCTGCCATCTGCAAGAGTATGGATGGGCCTGGAAGAAGTGATGCCGAGTGAAAAGCCGGAACAGAGAAGGACAAATACTGCTCTGCCTCACTCACATGGAATCTAAAAAGCTGCGTTCACGGAAGTGGAGGGTGAACAGTGGTTGCCAGGGGCTTCAGAGTGGCGAGGGGGAGATGGGGGGCAAAGGCCCAAACTGTCAGAGGGCGAACGGGCTCTGGGGAGAAAAGGTAGCGTGGTGACTCCAAGTGAATAATACCCTACTGTTCACTTGAAATTTGGTAACAACAGAGCCTAAATGTTCTCCACACACACAACAACAGAACTAACTCGGTCGTGGGATCTGTTTCATATTCTGTATAAACAACAAGGCATCACAGCGCATCCCTTACCTGTTATAACTTTCTCAATCACCCCTCAGAGTGGAAAACACACATCCCAATAAGAATGTCATCTTAGAAATTTCACCAGCTCTGGCCACCCTCAGAGGGAAGAGAATTCTGACCTTAGCTCAGCACACATCTCAGGCAGCACCTGTGGGAACCCCTCTGGGTGCTGGGGAAGCGGGCTCTGCTTTCCAGCTTTGTTTCTAGGAATGTATTTAAAGGAAACTCCTAAGTGAGAGCAGCACAGAATTTTATCTTTGTAGTTCTGATCTTCCATGTGTCTGAGAGAGTCAAGCCAGGGGCCAAAAAAAAAAAAAGGCCCAGGAAGAAAAGCAAGGTGGGATGTGACAACTGGCTTAGGACTTGCTCATTAATCGTGTGTTCACCCATGCACCATGCAGAAACGTGTTCTCAAGTGTGCTGGAGATGCAGCTGGGGCTGAGGAGGTGGCGGCTGCAGGAAGGGGGACGCCTGACAAGATGGGACAGGTGACAAGCAAAGCGAAGGTGTCCATGGCTGGACAAGGGGCTTGGTCTAATGGCACAGCAGGCCTGGCCTTGGATGGAGTAACTGGGGGGAGGGCACGCGTGCTGGCACCGTGGGAGGAGGCTGGCTCCAGACACGCTCTTCTCCAGTGCCCTCCGCTTCCTCGTAGAAGCAGCATGCTCACTACTAGAAAGAAGAATGGGGAGGAAGGAGGACGCAGGAAACAAGTCGCCTCTCAGACTGGGGATGCCCAGCAGCACCAGGGCCTGCTTGAGATGAAGTGTTAAGAATGGAGACCAGACCGCCCAGCTCCGCGAGGCATCTTTCTCCAGCTAAATCCCACCAGCAGCACAGGGGTTGGGGGGGCACCGCGGCAGGGAGTGAAGAGCCAGCCAGGGTGGGCCCATCCTGAACACAACGGGGCAAAGCTGTCAAGTATCCTTGTTTGCTTTCTGATCTGAAATCAACACGTGATCTCTTGGCTGCTGTGAACTGGCACTGCTGTTGCCCTACCATTGCTCTCTGTGGAGGTCTCTGACATTTTCCTGGTGAAGGACTGCTAAGTATTAACAGCAGGAACACAGAAAGCAAATTCGAAAGCTAAGAAGGAAACTCAGTCCACATGCATAGTGTGTTTAAATCTTTTCTCAATTATTTGAGGAGAATATATTATACTTTCCTAAGGAAATGCGATCTTGTAATTCTGAGCTTTCATGGACTCATTCGAGCAACAAAGCTTGCTTCACGCTATTTCCAAGGCACTCCTAACTCACTCAACTCAGATGGGCGTGTGGCAGACCGAGGGTGTGTGAGCAGTTCTGATGGTGTCAAGACAAGCCGAGGACACTCGGCGGGTGCTCAACTCACCTCTCCGAGGTGTGAGTCCCCCAGTGGTCCTTTCGTTTCTGGGTTGGCAATTATAATCCGAACCCCTGGAAGTATCTATTTGGGAGAGGAAAAGTCTCTTGTCAATGGAAGGAATTCAGGAAGAGGCTACACACAAGCCAACCTCAATCTCGTCTTCATGTCACTTCCTTTTTAAAGACCGTTTAGAAAGCAATTAAATCAACATTATATGCCACAAAGTTATGACTCATTATACAACCACAGCTTCACAATCACGGCATCATGATCACATTCTCACTGTAATTGTTATAATATTGTATGCCATTATGGTGATCTTAAAATTAAACATTTTAAAATGATTGACAATCATATCTCAATAAAGCTAAAAGAAATCTATTTAAAATCATAAAAACAACTTTTGAACAAAAACATGATAAATGATGTAACGTTGAACACAGCCTGACTTCTGCAAAATGGGAATTTTCAGTTGTTTCACTGAAGTTATTCACAACACTTACATAGATTCAATATTACGTCTTATACCCTGGCACAAAGCATGGATGGAAGGTGATGCTTACCGTCATCACTGAAGTCAGAGAGTCACAGAGTTACGTTTTCAGGGGTAAGCATGGACTTGAAGATAACCCAAAATGATTCTGGCAAAACTATTTAGCAGACAACTGCTTTGCTGGTGCCAGAGGGAGAGATTCTGTGTCAACTGCTAGTGAAATCTGGCGGGCTTTAATTAGGATGTCTGTGTGATATCCAGCTCATCTCCACCAAATTGTCAACTCAAGATACTGGGGAGCTGCAGGTAAACATCTCTGTAATGGACGTCAATATTAAACATTTCCTTTTTCATTGAGACAGGGTCTGGCGCTGTCACCCAGGCTGGAGTGTAGTGGCACAGCTACAGTTTACTGCAGCCTTAAGCAACCTCCAGCCTCAGCCCCACAAAGTGCTGGGATTACAGGCAGGAGACACTGGGTCTGGCCAGAATTTCCTTCTTAACGGAAGTTTAGCCTAGAAATATCTCACATTCCACTGATATCACTTAGATAAGGAATCAAAAGTTCATTCTGGAAATCCTGAATATAGCCTGTCTCAGATCTGTTCATCTAACATTTACAATTGAAACAAAGGCAAAACATTTTATGGTAAAAACATAGAATGTCCTGGAATAGTCACACTGTGCTTTCAGTCTGAAGTGAGACTTCAGGGCTCTGGGTTCTGCGGCTGGCGAGGTCCGCCAGACTGTTAACGGTGATGGTGAGCACATTTCTACTGCCAGAACCAACTCTGTAAAGAATTCCAACTTGCAGTCTTGCAGACAATTTTATGAGAGGCCCAGAAACAACATGAGACGTTTTTAGAATTATATCAATGGAGAAGGAATCTGACAATTGGGGCCAAAAAGGAAAAAAAAGAGTCTTCATTTAGGTTTAAGTATGTTTATTGCCCTTTAGTGCTAGTAAAAAACACAACCACTGTGGCAGAAACTACTAGGTATCTTTTGATAACCTTCCTTTTTTACTCCCACAGTAACAGATACCCCGATTTTTAGGCAGGCCTGCAGATATTCAGAATTGATATCCCAATAGTTCCCAACCTTCTTTTGAGCTAGATGTGGCCATGTGACCAAATTCTGATCAATGGTATTTCAGTGTAGAAGAGCTTCGGAACCTTCCCTGTGGTCTGCATGCTTTGTTCTCTTCTTTTTCTGTTTCTCTTCCTGCTGGCTAGAACATGGAAATGAGGGCTGGAGCAGGACCAGCTGCCTCAGCCCCTGAGGTACCCTTGGGAATCGGGATACACTGTGCAGAACGAGGCCAGAGGCAGCAGTGCCTGTGCAGGAAATGCTGACTTCCCAACTTTTACCTGAGGAAAAAAGTCTAACTTGTTTAAAACACTGTTATTTTGAGTTTCTATACTGATTGATATATTACTTTCCAGAAAGCTTTTGAAAAAATATTTCTATAAAATACATTTCTTAAAACTTAAAGGCCCATACACTCAGAAGCAAACTGACACAGAAATGCATGCTTCTTCCTGTAATTCTTACCTTTCCTGATTCCATCAGGGGCAGGCTATGAGGGGATCCTCTTTCCACTAAACGGACTCTGCAAATAGAAAGAAAAAATATTCCTAGATGTGTTTTCTGTCCAGTTTCCCCTTCACCAATTCAGCATGAGGTCATGAGCCCAGCAGGCCCTCAGGGAAAGTTGATTCTGAGCATCATCCAATGGCAAAGACATAAGTCACAGAAAGGGCAACCCAGTAGCAGTGGAAACTGTACCCAAAGTGACGGCCACAAAGAAGGCAGACGAAGCCGCATCTCTCAAATCTGCCAAATAACTGGAAAAATGGCTCTGAACTTAAAGTAACCATGAGTCCACTTATTTTCAGAAAAGGAGAAGAAAACGGATTACAGGGCATCCTTGAAAGAGCTGTGGGTCGCCCAGGACCGTGCCACCTGGTCCTGAAGCATGGATGGCTGCACTGCGGGTGGAAGCAGGGCCAGGTGTGCAGGGGCTGAGAGCCCTCCAAAGGCAGTGTGAGCATCACAGCCACAGAGCAGAGAGAACTGCTGGGCCCTGACGGCAAAACTACTGAGAAAAGAACCTCTTCAAAGAACACGTCGTAGTAATTTAATCTTAAGAACTGCAAGAACATTGCAGCAATCACAGCCAGTGGTTCGCCAACAGTCCCTGCAGGAGCATCATTTCTGTCTTTTGAGGGCTTCACTACTGGTTTTGCATTTTTACCAGGTCCTACTGGACCACGACACTCTTCATTTACCTAAGAGGCAATTTTTATTTAAACAAAGTAAAGCAAAGGAGAAAGTGCTCAAAGGCTTGAAGACGGCAGATCAGAGGAGGACCTGCCTCCCACCTCGGGACAGGCTGTGGGCAGGGAGTCTGTTGGCTCCTGAGATGCCCTTCCTACCATGGATGTGGTTTTTTTCCGGAGATAGGGTCTCTCTCTGTCACCCAAGCTGGAATACGGTGGTGTAATCTTGACTCACTGCAGTCTTGACCTGCTGGCCTCAAGCAATCCCCCCACCTCAGCCTCCTGAGCTGCCGGGGTACAGGTGTGTACAACCACATCCGGCTAACTTCTATGTTTTTGTAGAGATGAGGTCTCACTATGTTGCTCAGGCTGGTCTCAAGCTCCCGGTCTCAGGTGATCCTCCTGCCTCAGCCTCCAAAAGAGCTGAGATTATAGGCGTGAGCCACCATGCCCAGCCCTCACTGAGATTTGAACCACACTCTTAGGCACTGGGCACAGTGGTCTTCCTCTGTAACTGACAGGTGTAGTCAAAGAAAGAGGATGAAGGGGAGGGAAGGGGCAGGAGGTACCAAGAAAGAAGCCAGAATGTCACAGGGCTCTGAGGGAACAGTCCAGTACAGGCCTCTGCAAAGCCTGAGGGAGGCTGTGGAGGGTGTGTGCACCTCTGGGCACAGGGGTGTTCCTGCCACCAAGGGGGAGGCACTCAGCAGCATGGAAGACATGTGGTGCCAGTCAATCCGGGAGCAGCGTGAAGGGCTTGGTGCAGGCGTGGCATGTGTGCCAGTGTCTTCGGAAGGGTCTTGACAGCTGCACTGCTCCTGCAGGACCCAGGGCTGTCTGCAGCCAGGGCCACTGTCTCCTGTGGCTGTTCAATGACTGAGGCTACAGAACAATTCCTCACCCAACCTAGTGTGACTTCTCCTGTTGCTGCTGACAGAGCAGCCTGTGCCAGGGAGGGTCATCTGTGGTGGAGCAGAAACAGGGAAGGCTAGTGGCACTTTCCCATCCGCAGGAGAGGAGACACTGGGGAGGCCGCCTGCGTGTATAAGCAGGAGTCTGATCAGGGAGGAACACTTACTGGAGCCACTTCAGATTGGGTGACAAGCATCAACTCTTTGGTGTTTGTCTTTTTTTGAGATGGAGTTTCGCTCTTGTTACCCAGGCTGGAGTGCAATGGCGCGATCTCGGCTCACCGCAACCTCCGCCTCCTGGGTTCAGGCAATTCTCCTGCCTCAGCCTCCTGAGTAGCTGGGATTACAGGCATGTGCCACCATGCCCAGCTAATTTTTTGTATTTTTAGTGGAGACGGGGTTTCACCATGTTGACTGGGATGGTCTTGATCTCTTGACCTCGTGATCCGCCCGCCTCAGCCTCCCAAAGTGCTGGGATTACAGGCTTGAGCCACCGCGCCTGGCTGGTGTTTGTCTTAAAGGGAAACCTTGCTGCTAACAGCTGATGAGGGCTGCCACAGAGTTCACATGACTCAAGCTCTTCGGGAATACACCAACAGACTGATGACGCTAACCCCCTCCACAAAAGCCTCACTGGGTGCTTTAACACAGAACTGCAAGAAACCGAAGAACTTTCAGGAGCCAGGTAGGGTTATGCTAACTTCAGGTGGGTTACTATTGAGACTTGCCCTGAGAATACCTAGAATTTGTGATGCAACACAAACACGCTCTCCTCTGGACCCTGACCACGCAGCAGCACACAGCACGAGCACACTTGACATATCGGCAGGATGTGCCCATGCCGGACAAGGACACCAACTCCTTCCTGCTGTGCCAGGAGGCCCGCACACGTGCCCTGATCTGAGCGGCCAGTGGAGTCAAAAGCCGGTGAACTGCAGATTCCAGAAATGGGCGATCTGCTCCAGATGAAGACAGTAGCAGAGAAGCCAGGCCAGCTGGCCGGGGCAGCAGTGAGAAAGAGGCACCTAAGATGGTGAGGAGAGGGAAAAAATGAGAGGTGGGGTCAGACGGCCCTGCCTCAGCACCCTACAAAGGCCAGGTGACCAGCCAGGGAGTGAAACGCAGCCAAGACCGAGGGCTGTTTTGGACACACTGTTTCTGTGTCCGTGCCCAGGCCACAGTCATCTCTACTTTAGGATGTCTGAGATCCTGTCACTGGCTGGAGTCAGATGAACTGGCAGCTCTAGGAGCTGTCACTATGGGGATGGCTTCAGAGAGGGTCCAGGGCTCTGCCAGGCAGGGCACAGGCTGTGCAGTATTCCCACGTCTTCCTTCTCTCCATCCCTGTGAGTTTCTGCCTTGGCCTGTGCCCAGCCACTAAGGGGGCATGGAGCAAAACAAGACAGGCGAGGCTCCGGGCAGGTGTGTGCTGGCCAGCGCCTCGCCCTCTGGCCGCACATCCTTCACTCTCTCCTGCTCTTGCCCCCGTACTGACCCACAGCCTCAGGAAGGGGAGCAAGATGGAATCTCAGCTGAGAACCTTGTCTGAAGTGTGGAAAACATGGAAGATCTATCATCCAGAATTTCCTCTCTGGTTAGTATGAAAAAGGTGTGCTTCATATGAAAACAGGCATAGGGTGCTAAATCACTCTGGGCCAGTCTAGGATGAAGCAGCTCAACATCCTGCTAGCAAATGCCACACAGGAATTCCCTCATCTACACCAAGCTGAACAATAGCCACCTAAAGAGAGAGAACAACATCCACATAGCAAAGAGAGGAAAAAAGCTACCCCTTATCTAAGGGCAGAAGAGACGTTTTCCTACAGAACTAGGAGATATATCTGCAACATACACATTGAAGGGCTGATTACCTTCCATGTGCAAAGAACTCACAGCAATAAACAAGGTGATCTTGGTTGTTCTCAAACAAGTGTCCTCCACAGTTACAGGGCGGGCTGAGTTAAGACCCACGTCCAACTGAGCTTGGTGCTGACTTTCTCAAACTGGGGATCATATGCAGATATCACCAGGTTTGGGCAAATTAAATGAGCTATGACTCTGAAGTGCTCACGGTCCGTAAGTTATAAGTAGCTGTTAACATTTCTCAGTTAGAACCAGGTTGTAAGGTTAAAATCAAGGCATCTCCTGGCATGGTTTTACAAGAGAGAGGTGGGCTGCTGGAGGGAAGCGCAGAGGTCTGAGGACTCCAGGAGCCAGAGCAGGGCAGGAGTGCTCCATGAAGGAGGGAGAAACACACACAGAGGCAGCCACGCTAGCCCTCTCCTGCAGGAAGTGTGACTGAGCCACCAACAGGACCATGTGATGCCCTAAGAGGACCCTCATGTTGCAGGAGCCATCGTGCCAAGGCCTGTGCCCAGCAGAGCTACCTTCTGTGGCAGAGCACCTGCCACTCAGGTCATGCTGCAAAGTCTGCTTCAGATAACTCAGGGCTGAGTAGAGCTGCCAGCTCCAGACCCAGGACTCTGTGCCGCTCTTCCTGTGCCTCCAGCGTGTGTTACTGCTGACCAGATCGGCTCCAGGAGGTGTGCACTGACACCCTCCCCAGGGGAAAGTCAGTTTTAAACAGTGCACGTACTTTCCCATCAGGGCTACAATTTAACTGTGTGTCTGAATAACTCTTCCAGCCTGGCCTGTCTTGCCCCTTATTTCTTCTTGACTCTAGTATAAACCCTGGACTTGTAGGGAATGAACTGTCTTTTGACACTACGCTGTTAAGTGGACTTGAAGTTTGGACTTTTATTGAAAAAGCAGAGACAGAGAGTTGACATGAGGGTACTTGCCACTAGCCTCTAACCTGCTCTGTCCTTGAACTGCTCTCAAACTGACTGAAATTAGCAACTTGTTTCGCCAGAAGCGATGCCTCGGAAGGCTGGAGCCCTGATTGTATGGTGTAACCCTGGGTGGGGAATGAAGGCATAGGGGTCACAAGGTCTTTCTGTGAGGTCTTCATTCTTCATAAATGCTTCCTGGCATCACACACTTGACCTCCTGGGAATGGGTGGGAAGGTGCTGCTTAGATAACCCGGTTTTTCATCATTTGTCTGAGAGCCACGGTCAAACCTCTCTCTAATCCTTCCCCACAAAGCTACAGATGGGACTCTCTTCCTCCAACTGAGATTCTCACACAGGGGCAAGAAGCGTCATCTGGGCCAGGCAAAGGGGGATGAGCACACTGCCCTCTGCCCAGGACCACCCCCCCAAGCCCTGGCAGTACCTGGCATCCTCCCACTGGCTGGCAGAGCACCCAGCAGCACACCAGCTCCAGAGACATAATAACAACCGAGAAACAAAACAGCATTCTCTACCCCAACAGACAAGCGCTGGCACATGGCAGCACCGCCCCCACCAGAAAGACAATCGCTTCAGATGAGTGCAGCTGGAGCCGTGACCAACACCTC